GCATTAAAGGTTGCAAGAAATGGACGTCCTAAAATAACAGGAAATGAATTACATGCTTCAACAGGTTGTGTGTCCAAAACAATAAAATCCACAAGATAAATGAATTTATTGACTTGTACTAACACATCTTCAATTATTCCTCTAGGCACTTTTATAGATCTATCGGCAAGTAAAAGAGTTATAGAAGTTGGTTTTAACTCACCTAGATTGAGACTCTGAAAAACTGAATATAGAAGTAAATTCACACTATCACCAAGATCAAGTAAGGCTCTTTCAATTTTATGCTCTCCAATAAAGCAAGAATTTACAGGACAACCAGGGTCTTTATATTTCAAAGCATTATTGTTCTGAAGAATAGCACTTACTTGTTCAATTAAAAAGGCTTTCTTTTTCACATTCAGTTTCCTCTTCACAGTGCATAGATCTTTTAAAAATTTAGCATAGGAAAGAACCTGTTTAATAGCATCCAGCAAAGGTATATTGATCCTTACTTGTTTGAAAGTTTCAAAGATTTTAGAGTTGTGATTGACTTTTCTTTGTTTGGTCATGGCTTGAGGAAATGGAAGTGCTGGCAGAGAATCAGTCTTTTCTTTGCAATTTTCATATTCAAACCCCTCCTTACCCTCAGAGATTGACTCATCATCTTTCTCATAAGGTTCAAGAGAGGGTTTTTCAATAATCTTACCACTGCGCAGAGTAGTGAATGATTTGACTTGATCCATGTGTTGGCTTCCGGAACTACTTGCATTTGCATTGTATTGCCCCTTGGGATTTTGTTGTGGTTGAGATGGAAACTTACCTTTCTCTTGGAAACTGAGAGCAGATGTTAATTTTGCAAGAGTATCTTTAAAATCTATCATGTTTTGAGCAAGTTGAGTATTGATTGTCTCTTGCTTTTCAATGAATGCATGCAATGTTTCCTCAAGATTTCTTCTAGGAGGTGGAGCATAAGGAGGTGCATATCCATGAGAATTTTGGAAATTGTGGTGTGCTTGAAATGGTGGTTGTGAAGTTTGTGCATTATTATTCTCTCTTCCAACTGAAATTTGAGTGATTTCTCCAACCAGGGTTGTATGTTTGTGAGTATGGGTTGTGGTTGGGCCTTTGGAAACTGTTTAAAGCATAGGCTTGTTCATAGAGACATTCCTTAAAAGAAGGCAAGGTTGAACAGTTATTGGTTGAGTGTTCATTTGTTTCACATATTTGACACACAATGTTTTCAATAGATTTTAATTGACCACTCTTTTTCAATTCTAGTGCCTCACTTTTCTAGCTAAAGATGCAAACTTAGATTGGAGGTCATGATCTTCCCTAAGGTTGTACATACCTCTACTAGATGTATGAGGTTGAGTTTTACTCGGTGCCTCATAATTACCCGCGGTGTCCCAATTTTGAGCATTTTCAGCTAACAAGTCTAAGTACTCTATTGCTTCATCAGGGTCTTTATCTTCAAAAGTTCCATTGCACATCAATTCAACCATTTGCCTATCTCTAGGTGTTAACCCTTCATAGAAATGTGAAACCAATCTCCATGTTTCAAAACCATGATGAGGGCAAGTACTAAGCAAGTATAGATACCTATCCCAATATTGGTAAAATGTTTCTCCTGGTTTTTGAGTGAAAGTAATGATTTGTTTTTTGAAAGAGTTTGTTCTGTGAGATGGGAAAAACTGTTTCAAAAACTGTTGTTGCATTTCATCCCAAGCATGAATGGATCCTGGTCTTAAATTTTGTAGCCATATTTTAGCTTTATCTTTTAATGAAAAAGGAAAAAGCTTTAATCTGATGGTGTTCATGCTACAATTTAAATTATTATATGTGTTGCAGACCTCCTCAAATTCCCTTAAATGCAAGTATGGATTTTCCAATTCTAAGCCATGAAAAGAAGGTAAAAGTTGAATAATACCTGGTTTAAAATTAAAATGAGATGCATCGGGAGGAAAAACTATGCATGATGGTGCACTTGTTCTTGTGGGATTCATGTAGTCTCTAAGTGTTCTAACACGGTTATTCTTATTATTCTCATTATGAAGTGATTGATTATCTTCTTCGGCCATATTTTCTGAAAATGATGAGGATACCCTATAAAGTCTACCACTTGATGTACGTGACCACACTCTCATGCACGTGTAGGAATAGAATACAAGGAAGAAGAAAACAAAAGAAGAAGAAACAAGAGAAAAGAAACAAAGTTATATACAAGAAAAGTGAAAAGAGAAAATAAAATAACTATTATAATTTATACAAGAACTTACCTCCCCGGCAACGGCGCCAAAAACTTGACACGACTCCACAAGGAGGTTAATTGTACAAATTATAAATAACAATAATACAACAACAATAACAATAACAACAACAACAATAATAATAGTAATAACAGCAATAATAATAATAATAATAATAATAATAATAATAATAATAATAATAATAATAGTAGTAGTAGTAGTAGTAGTAGTAGTAGTAGTAATAATAATAATAATAATAAAGAAAAAGAAGAAGATGAAGATGAAGATGAGAACTTTGAGATGAAATATTAACGTAAAGATTTAACAACGATAACAATAAATGTCAAGGTTAGAGGATCCACTAATGGTATGTCAAACAAGTATAGTATAAACTTTTATTAGTCAATTAGAAACCACACACAAAGGAGGTTCCAATCAGATTATATATTGTTAACATGATTACATTAGTCATCTTATTCGATTAATGCTAATACTTGTAAATCTCGTCAAGCATTCATGATTATAACTTATGTTAACAACAAATCAAGTTCCTTTCATAGCTCAGGTGTTGGTTATACCATAGAGTATGGGCTATGAAAGTGTCAAGCATTTGTTGTACCAAGTGTTATACAACATAAATCAAGATTAATCATTTAACAAGCAAAGTATTAAAGAGTGAACAAGATAACAAATACAAAACATGTTAGTATCAAACATTAAAGTCTATATTAAGTTTACACTATACTTATTCTTACACCATTAGTGTAGCCTTTTCACCTTGACATGATAAACTTAGCTAGACATAATGAAGGAAAGAAAAATAAATAAACAAAATAAAAACATAAATAAAATAAGAGTTAACTAAGTAAAGGAAAAGAAATGAAAGGCATAAAATTAATATTAATAAAAGCAAAGCATAAACATTACAAAAAATACAAAGAGAGAAAGGAAGAGCATGATCTTGATCTGGAAACCAAGATGCCTAAATGCATGGCAAATGCCTCCTTTTATAGGCGAAAATTGGGAACTATTGATTTGATGACTAATTGATGAGTGGGTGGCCAACTCTTGACTTGGTGACAATCCTTATCTTCTCTTGTCTGCCCAAAACGTCATTGATAACGTCAAAATTGGAGCCACTTGAAAACATGACAGTTGTAGGCAATTGTCTTAGCTTTCTTGTGTAAAAACTTCAGCTCATTTGGACTTCCAGAACTCCAGATATGGCCAAAATACTGAATAGTGCTCGGGCTGGAGGACAGATTCGGGCTTCTTTGTTGTTGCTACAATTTGGACTTGAAAATGACCTTTTTAGATCTTGGGCTCATATAAAAGTTGTAGACCTATGTCTTACCTTTCCATCCATATAAATTAGACCTAAATCTGAGATCTATAGCTCCAGATATGACCCAATTACCGAACAATGTTCCGGTTTGGATTGCATCAACATTTCTTTTCTAATTTTGGTCATCTCTTTGCCCTTGCAATTTAAGTTTTTAAAGTCATCAATCAATCCTTTCATTTATGTGATAGATCTGCATTTAAAATGAACATTTACCACAAATTAAATGTATCTTATATTATTAGATATATTATTATAAAACATGCTTTAGTTAAGGAGTTATTGATACTTCAAGTGTAAAATGATGATATAAAACCATGATAAAAATGCACTTTTAAGTACTAATCAGCAATGCATATATCTTAAGAAAAGAATAATTTTTTAATAATATAATTTGAATATATTAAATTAAATGAAATAAATCTTGAAATAATATAAATGGTTAATAAACCTAGGAATGTATGTCCATGGAAAAAAAAGAGAAGTTTTTCTTGTTTTTTCTTTGAGTATGTATGGGTTTTATCTAAAAGCCTTTCCTGTATCTAATTATTATAAAATTTTAATTTTATAAAAAATAAAGCTTTTAATATTTTTTAGTAAAATTTTAATTGGATTCAACAATTAAATTAAAAAGCTATAATTATTAACATAAAATTATGTGCTCAAGCTTTTTTACATGTCAAGTAGCTCTTATTTTTTATTTGGATTACATTAATTAAAGATTTGTTTTATATACTCAACTTTATGTTTGATGTCACCGCATAAAAATTCTTACTTTATTCCCGTATTATGAATAATTCCATTAAATATCTTTTAATCTTTGTAGTTTTGTCAATATGGACAATAATTTTTTTAATTTTAATTTTAAATAAATATTCATAAATATTTAAAGGTTTGTTTAAAGGTTTAAAACCTGAAAGCAGTATGTTTATAAGTATAATTATAGTTATTTTTTAAAATATTTTTTATTTTAAAAATTATATCAATATTTTAAAAAAATATTTTTAAAATTGACACATTAAAATAATTTAAAACTATTAAAAATATATTAATTTAAAATAATTTTTTTTTATTTTTTTAAAAACATTTTTAAAAATCAGAGGCAAACAAATTAGGTAATTACACCGTACAGGGTCTCGCCGAACTGAACAGAAACTGCCGTGCTAGACCTGAGTCATGCCCATTGCCCGGTACATTATTTGAAGTGGCCCACCCACGCACTCAATGTTAGGAATGCAATCATGAGCACATGTATGTGCAAACAAAAATTCAAGTATGGTCTTTTTCTTTTTAATTCTCCACATTTTCGAGAATGTTCTTGCAGGAATTGAGATAAAATGGAAGCTGTCCTGGAAAAACAGGAGAACCGTTAAATAATTAATTTCTTGCAACTAATGTAAGATGTCCTGTATTGAGTCCCGAACGAGTAATTACTACTTATTTTTTTAATTTCAGAAATAATAACAAAATCGAACAAAAGAAGTGGAAAAATAATCCACTGATCAGTAAATTAATGGCTTTAGCATAATATGTAGCCCTCCCTCCGTCAATCATAAAGAAATGGTGGAGCTTTACGCGATCGCATTACACCACCCACTTCCCACCCACCCACCAACCCACCCACCCAGAGATTCTGCCTCCATCCCTCACCTGTTGCAAAATCATCCCCTCTACTCCTCCTCCTCCTCCTCCTTGTTCTAGTATAAACACGCAACAAAGCTCAAATAAATATCTCCTAGCTTTTCTCTCCCCCATTTCGTTCCTCCGCTCTTCACAAAGGACCTTCCCTTCTGTAACCATCAGACAAGAAAAGAAAGAAAGGAACAAGACAAAAAGAAAAACTAAACCGTTCAAGTTTTCAGATCCGCTTTTGTCAGTTACAGCTAGACAAAATTACCGGATATTTCTCTCACCCCTTTCTTCTTGTTCTTGTTCTTCTTTTTTTTTAACTGACTGACCCCAAGAAAAAAATTAAAAGATAAAAGCTTAACAGAAACGGTCAAGCCCAAAACCACATCATGGGAAACATCAGCAGCAACAACGTTAACGGCCGAAGGAGACACGGAAGCCGGCGGAGCCACCCTCCACCGCCCCCACCAGCATCCCCGCAGCCGGAAATCACGCCCAGCCGTTACGTTTTCACGGCGGCAACGCCTTACCCTTCGCAATACCCTAACCCTAACCCTAACCCCCCACCATATTATCAGTACCCTGGGTACTATCCACCCGCGATGCCCATGCAGTCGCCAGCTCCGTACGATCACCGCAACCGGGTGGACCAACCAGCGGCTCATTGGGTAGGAGGGAGGTACCCAATGATGCGCCAACCGGTTCCTTGTGTAGAGCACCAGAAGGCGTTCACTATAAGGAACGATCTTAATTTGAAGAAGGAGAGTTTGAGGCTTGAACCAGACGAGGAGAATCCAGGGAGCTATCTTGTTACTTTCACATTTGATGCTACTGTTGCTGGAAGGTAAAGGGTAAAGCTTTATTTTTTAAATTGTTTTTGTTTTGTTTTGATGTAGTGCTTTTATTATTGAATGTAAAGAAAACTTTTTCAAGAGGTTTTGTTGGTCTTTGTTTGATAGGATTACTGGTTTTGTTTGTGGAAGGAACATCTTTTAAAATGTAATTTGACTCTTGCAAGACTTTGACTTGAGAGGATTTTGAATGAGCACTTGATTTGGCTTTGGTAATTTCTATCAGAGGATGGTGAAGTTAAAATAAAGTATTGGTCGTTGATTCTTTGGTTTAACTTTCTACTATCCATCATTGTTGAGGATTGTTCTTGGAGTGACTTCCCTCTAATAAATGTTCAATTGTTATAGTTATTCCACGGATGTAAAGGTAGCAAGTAAGTGCTAGCTTGACGTTAGGAATGAACTTATTATGGATTGCATTACATGCAAGTAAGGATTTTGTGTTCAGCATAGCTGGAGATTTGTACGATGATTTGACTGCTTGAAGGAAATGGTTTAACAAACTGAATTTGAAACTTACCGTTAAGAGCAGTAGAGGTTGCTTTTGTTGGAATTTAATTGTTTTTGGGCAAGTTATGGATTCATGGGTAATTCAGAGGATTGTCATAATCAAGGTCCCTGGGCCTGCTTAGGACATCATCTTGTCTTAAATTGGGATTGGTTAGACAATTGGTGAGATGATGAATTTGGGGTTACTACCAAATGACTGTAGTGAACCATTGCAACAGATATCTTGTGCTAAATGGGATTTAATCATGGCCGATGAATAGATTTGGTTTTTACTCTTCTAACCCACCTAAATAGGTGCAGTCTTGGTGCGGTGTTAAAATAGACTTGCATCCATGAAATTTGGGTTTTGAATTTTGAGAGGATCCATTTTGTTCAATCATGTTAAAGGGTTGGAAAGCTTGTAAAACATTTTTTTTTAACACCTTTTTGATGATATGATGTTATTGGATGATGAACCATTTACTTTGAGTGGCATCCACACAAAGAAAAACAAAGTTGCATCCCTTTAATGTTCATTGTGGCATATGAAGCTCAGTACCAAAAAATGTAATATTTATTAGTTGGATGTTGTTTGTAAGAGTTTCAATAGTTTAATTGAAGTCGAGTTACAAAGTACCATTTCCATATATGTCACTCTTTTAGCTGGATTGTGTGCTATAAAAGGAGAATGTTCAGTGAAAAAGTCTTGGTAACATTCTCATAATAATCATGTAGCATCTAGCTTTAGCAACTCATAAACAAAGGGAAATGGTAAATAATTATCTCTTTGCTCAGAATCATTTCCTTATTACTAGTTGGCATTGTCATGTGATCTTATTTATTTATTTATCATGGATGCTTTCTTGGAGCTTTCTTTTGAAAGACATGGGGATAAATGCTGATCCAACTAAGCTGTGAATTTTGGCTTGTATTCATTTTATCGGGAATGTCTGAATGTTTTTTTTTCCTCCTAGGCACTTCTTGTTATTAAACATATGGTATTAATTCCTTACAAAAATCGCATTCCTTTGATCTGCATACAGCCTCACTATTATTTTCTTTGCGAAAGAAGGTGATGATTATGTCCTGACACCAACAAAGGCAGACCTTCCACCAGTGACAGTAAATTTCCCACAAGGTCTGGGCCAGAAGTTCAGACAGCCTTCTGGAACAGGGATTGATTTCACCTTGTATGAGGGGAAGGAGTTGTTACAAAAGGGTGAGATGGATGCCTATCCTCTAGCAGTACAGGCAGAGGCATCCCCTGCAAATCATAATGGAACAGAAGGAAACCAGATGTCTGGAGCTATGAACTCTCTGTTAACTCAAGCAGTATTTGAGAAGGAGAAAGGAGAGTACCAAGTGAGGGTGATGAAGCAGATCCTCTGGATTAATGGGATAAGATGTGAGCTTCAGGAGATATATGGGATTGGAAATTCAGTTGAGGGTGATGTTGATGCAAATGACCCTGGTAAAGAATGTGTCATTTGCCTGTCAGAACCACCGGACACCACTGTTCTTCCTTGCCGACACATGGTAAGCTTCTCCCTCCTTCTGTGTGCGCGCGCGCGCGCGCGTGGGGGGGAAATACAAGGAAGTGATGCTCTTCACCCACAGTTCATATTTTAGGGAATTGCTTTTCAACCAAAAACTATTTATCGTTTTGGAATTTTGTTCTTTTAAGTTGTGAAAGCTACAGAAAACTGTTTCCATAAACATCATATAGCCACGGGCATGACCGTGACCCTTTCCCTGCTGTTTGTGTCTATATCCAACAACAGGCATTTGCAAAAAAAATGCTTCATTAAAAGTCATGCGAGTTCCATGTGATGGTTCAAGACTGAACTGTCTGGAATGTGTGTATTATTGCTGGTGCATTTAGAATATCTCCAAGGTGAATTTCATCTGATAGGCCTAAATTCTTCTAGATGAATTTCCATTTCAGTGGTTATCTAAGTAATCTGGACTCAGAAATCTGGTAGATATCTTGTTGGTGACACATTGGCCGATTCTTTCTTTCTTTTTTTTTTTCACCATTCTTTTCTCCCACCTTGCAGTGTATGTGCAGTGGCTGTGCAAAGGTTTTGAGGTTCCAAACAAATAGGTGCCCCATTTGCCGGCAACCAGTTGAAAGGCTTCTAGAAATAAAGGTCAACAACACTCCTGATGAATGACTAAAGAGTTGCTGCTGGCACTTGTATTTGTATGGTAGTTTGTCGATCTTTTCTCCGATCCTGTTTTTTCTTTTGGCTTCAGCATCTTGTTTTCCTTTCAGATTTCCTGCTTCTCCAATAATCAAACAGGAAAATATGCAATGTGGGATGGTTAAAATACCGGCATTGTGCCAAATATGCAAGCCAATGCCTCCAGCCTGCATTTGGAAGTCTTTAGTGGCAGCTTCACAGAATTTTTAAGAAATATAGTATATGTTTGGTTTCTCAGCACTGTTGTTTTAGACTGTCTTCACGGAGCTCTACTTTCGGAATGGGTTGGATTAAAAGAAGCTTGGTCACTGGGCATGTGCTCGGTTGTGTTCATAGGAAGTATTTTCCAAGCGGATTGCTGAGATGAGGTCATTATTGTCATATGATGACGGTCAACCACAAAACATGCGATCGATGCAAGATGCAGGTTGTCTTCTGACCGCAATACTTAATTTTCGGGAAAGGTGTGGGATTCCTTGTAAATCCTATGATGTTACAAGGTTGTCTTAGCTCCGTTCTTAGTTTTGCTTGTGGCCATAATAGTTAAAGAGTGGGCGGGTTTTAGCACTCTACGCCGTAGTGCTGTGATAGGAAAGTATAATTTTGATAAGAGTTCATACCTTAATTCTAGATTGACGTGCCATGTTTTATTGCCTTCAGAGAACCCTAGTTAAGTCAAATATTGAATAAGTTGGATTTCACTATTAAATAAATGTGCAATATGAATGTTACATAGTCCAACAAATATCCCCTGCAGGAGAAGAACAGCCTCCATTAAAATTATTGATTACGGGTTGATTATTTATAGATGAAGTATGGAACTAATAGTCAATATAAATGCATATAGTTTGTGTTTGAGAGTATGATATATAATTTGTGTATGAGAGTATGGTAGTAAAAAGTGTTTTGAGTTTAATTATAAAATTATAAATATAACTTCATGAGTTGCTATTTAGTATTATTGCAACTGAAAAATTTAATAGTTTGTGATGGTTGGGCAAGAAAAAAATGTATCATTCCTGGTGTATTTTATTTAAAATATGTTATATTGTTGTTTAATTGTTGTTTTAAGTTGTGTTTTTGTTTGTTGATTTTGTTTAAGGTATAAAGTATATTTTTTTTTGTGAGGAAGTTTTTATCTTATTAGGTGAAGTTATAATTATTCTAAGGTTTAAATTTATTTATTTCTTGGATATAAGTAAGTTCTAATATTTCTAATATTAATTAAATAAAATAATTGTTAAAGGATTTTTTATATTTTAGTCAAACCCTAACGAATAATTATAAATTGTTTATGATATTTATTTTATATATTTTTTTAAATATGATAAAAATAATTTTTTTTTAAGAAAATATGTATGAAAAGCTTTTAGAATTTAATTGCATGAATGAAAACCAAATATATTTCTGTTTTTTAAATGAAAGTTTACCATTCCATTTTCATATTTTTTTTGGAAATTTCGGAGAAAATCAAGTATTTTTAATATTGGATTTGTATTATAAAATATAAGTTTATAGTTCGATATTATGCAAATCTTTTAGAAAAAGCATGTGAAAAGCATGTGAAGGACAATAAATATTTTAAAAATATATTTTGAAAAATTTGAAGTTTTTTAATATTATTATATTATTTATTTATTAAGTGGTTTGGATTCGGTCTAACCATTTAGGTTAGACTTGGTTAGGTTGGGTTAGATCGATTAACAATCTAACAATTTTTTTTTTAATATTGGCTAGGCCTGGAGCCCAAGCCTGACATGTTCAGGTTGGTTAATGAATGACCCAACTTTTTTTTTTTTTTTTTATGTTTGGACTCGACGTAACACAACCATTTGAGTTAGGCTGAAATGGGTCCAGTCTAAAGCCCACATGGTCTGACTGTTAATTATTTTTGCCTTTTGTATGCAAAACAAATTCTTGTGATGCATGTAGTGGTTGACATTGTAGCAGAGAGAAGGAAGGTAAAAACATTACCTGGGTATAAAGGAGTGGCTGATTAGTCGTGTTAGGAAGGTCGACGTGAGGCTAGTGGCAATGTTGGTGGAGGAGTTGGCGACTGATGTTAGTTACTAGAGGAGGAGAAGATCGTGGCAGAGAGAAAGGAGTTAGCAGTGGCTATTCGTGACATGCGGGTGATTGGCTGGTTCCTAATAGTGGAGCTATGATGGAAGAGTTGGTGATGAGGTCGTTGTGGCTGAGGGCAGAATGAAGGAGAAGAAGAATGTAATGGCAGAAAAGAGAATAAGGAGAAGATTGATTTTTAGCTAATTTTGAACATTGATTTTTGATGTTCATTGCTTGAAGTCCACTGCTATTTATTGAGAGTGAAAATGAACATTTTATTTTTATTAAGGAAAAATCTTGGTTCTTGATTCAACTATGAAAGATTTTAATTGTTGGCTTAAAAGTGCAATTATGGACTGTGAAAATTGACTGTTAAAGACTGGTTGGTTGACCAGTTTAAGACGGCATTGTGATGGTTATAAATATAGTTTGTTGACAAGACTTATTATAAGCTGTAGTATAATGTTAAGTCATTCTAATAGTGTATGATTTGTACTATTTAATGGGAAGAAGACAATGTCCTTAAAAAATAGCCACCTGGGTAGCTATTTTGGATGAAAAGTGAAGATGATGAATAGTAACTACACAACTTGTCATTTGTTTTTTTTTTTTTTCAAAACGGTACCGTTTTAGCTTTAGGTTTTTAATTTAGGGATTTGATTAAAGTTCAATTTAGTCATTCAACTTTTGCTTTCTTATAATTGCACCCTTAATTGATCTAGTACTTTTAATTTTATGCAATTTTTTCTTTGCTAAAATTCAAAATTAATCCCAAATTTTAGTGTTCTTTTCATTTTGGTCCTTGATTTTGGATTTAGACAAATTGATCCTTAATTGACCATTAAATTTTATTTTTTCTTCAATTTCACTTCTCTTTTCAACCAAATTGAGTACCTAGAGTTCAATGTCTTTTTCAAAAATATTATTGACTGTGGATTTCTTTGATTTGAGCCCTAATTAACCTTAAACTTTGATTGTTTATGCATTTTTACCCTTAATTTCAATCAATTAATTTTGTAAAAATTAAGTTTGTTCTCTAAGATTCCAATCTTCTCAATTTAGCTTAAATTGGGCTTTCAAACTCAATGTTTCACCAATTAAGTCGCTAATAAAATTAATTTGAACATTTTAACTTATAATTAAGTATAATAAAATTAATTATACTTAATTAAATACTTTAATTTGATCTAAATTAATTCTTATTAAGTTTATTTTTATACAAATTTATCTAATAATTATTTAATTTGACCTTGAATTCATTTTGTCTCTCTAGTCTTTAATGCAATAAAGTATGATTAGGCTTCAAATTTAATTTTGTTTGAAACTTCAACTTGATTCTTCTGTGTATATCTAGAACATTTCTAAGTCATTACTAATATTTTAGTTGTTATTTTTTATTTTTTTTAACAAGGAAAGGGTTGCTATTTTTTATTTTTAACAAGGAAAAGGTAAATTTTGAGAAATAACAGAAAAATATGTTATGATGTAATTCTTGGTTGAAGTATTAAAACCTGAAAAATTATGCCCTCAAAATTAATATGCAGCAAAAAGCATTCTCAACTTGAATGATAGATATCGAAAGAATACCACGCAAACCATGAATTTGGTTTCATAAACTTTTTAGGACAGGATTGCATTCATTTCATGCTGGGGAGTGAATTGTGGCATCTTTTCGTCCATAAGACATCTGCTTGTGAAAGCATAAAATGGCAACAGAGTGATCTGTTGTCGGCACCTTACTCCTGTTATTGCGCAACGATTTTTCGTTTCGTTTTATAAAAACGGTAGAAAAGTTAATCTTGAAAACAGCCAAATATTAAATACTGGTGTCTAAATTATCGGCAAGACAAGAGGCGAAGCGAAGGCTTTGAAGATGCGGGTGATCTGTTGCAGAAAATGACGTCAACTATCTAACAACTTGTTAGATTTTGAATTTCCTCGATCAGGAGTTTGAGTTTCTTTAGTTTATTAAAAATTTATATAATCTTTTATGAATTAAATACATGCAAGTTAGTTCAAATATTCAGGTTAAGAAAAAAGAAAAGAAAAGAAGGGGGACTCGTACCTATAGGCTAAATGGAGCATAGTATCCCTCTTACGCATTCATTCGTGGAGGGCCTCTACCAGCAGTCGATTTGAATCTCACGAATAAATAAATAGCACGCCTTTGAATATATTCCCTAAGGCGTCAGATGATGTTGATTATTATCTAAGATTATGTCTTTGATGTTGGTTAAAAGAATCCAAATGTGAAAAGCAATCAACAAATGCGAAGAAAATGATCTGTAAAGCTCACAATCATAGATATAATTAATTAATAGTTTTTCAGAGCATCATTTTCTGAGAAACGCCACCAAAAGACTTCACGAATAGCATCTTAAAAGCACTCCATAATTTATTCAACAACATGAAAGACAATGGTTGATTATTTAGCTTAAGAGCGTCCAAGCATTAAGCAACGTTGGGTGCCTCCACGGCATCGTAACAAGTAACTTGAGTTGAAGTCACCCCGACGCCAGTAGAAAAGCAAAGCTAACACACAGTAGTCAGTACACGGTTGAACGAATATCAATTGGTGGTTAGTGTCCCCACCACTGATGGACAAACACACCGCTGCTTCCAAGGCTCTTGAAGAGGTCCATGCAGTTTCCACCAACTTGATCTGAGCAACTGAGGAACAGCTCATCAATAAAGCATACAGCTCCGCTTTGGAACAGACCAGACAGAAATCTCGGTTCCACCGTCCCTGCTTTCATTTTGACCACCACAAAGTCAGCATGCTGCACTGTTTGCTTAAACCAATCAAGAAAATCAAACCCTTCATCTTCCACAGATTGATCGAACTCTTCAACATCAGGATTAAGAGTATCCCCGACTCCAGCAAGGCCAGGATAATAAATGAAGGCAACACCAGGTTTTTTTAACACCAGAAAGCAGGACCGAAGCGTTATGGTCGACAAAATAAACATTGAAAATGTTGCGATCCACAGGATAAGACGGCAAGAACCAACTTGAAACACTAGAATTCAGATGCTCACCTCCCCCAATCTCGACATGCACTAATCGCTTCCTAGAGGGCATATCAACAAACTTGGGCAAATAAGCTATGTTTTTCTCATGTTCTACTTGCTTATTCTCTGTGAGAGGTTCTAAATTCTCCAAATGAGGTCTATTATTCATGATAAATGGGCAATCAGCAGGTAGCTGGTATTGCTGGAAGTAGCTGACACTGTAAATTCTTGAAAACACTCAGTGTATTATTCTTGATAAATGAGGTCTATTATTCTTGAAAACACTCAGTGTATACTTGTTGACATATGTTGACCAAAAATGACAATAAGCAAAATAAAATCTTAGCAGAATCTGAGTTTATATACAGTATTAGAGTTTGTTTCTTATTATTAATCTAATGGCTATTTTTATTCCATGTAACAGAAAATCAGATATCTTAGAAAAATATCTTGCAATTTTGTTTCTTCTTATTGTATAAATAATCATATTGAAAATCAATAAAGTAGTATGTTTTCTTGCAACTACAATAGCAAAGTTTTGTTTTCTCTTCAATATATACAACATATTAGTATCAAAACTAATTTTCTTGAGGGACTTGTGAGGTTGAGAGATCCTAAACACAACCTTCAAACACTTGTGAGATTGAGAGAATCTAAACACAACCT